AGCTTGCTTCGCTCCTTCCAGCGCTGCGAAGGTTAGTCCGGGGGACAGATGCGTCTCGGATTCTCCAACTCTTGGGTGTTTAACTTCGGTGCCTGCAGCAACAGGGACTTATATTCAGCCTCCGAGAGGCTATGAAGGGACCAGCCATTGTTTTGAGATCCTTTTGGATGCCCTCAGCCAACAATTCAAAGGGGTTTATGCCTGGTACTGGGGTTTTGTTAGCTCCTGAAGGGAACTTTGTTAGCCCAAGTGCCATAACTTCATGCCTGTGTGTGTGTGTGTGTGTGTGTGTGTGTGTGTGTGTGTGTGTGTATGTGTGTTATGTAGTTTTTGGTAGATAAAAATATGTTTTTATCTTTTTTTCACACCTTTTTGAACACCTTCCTCCTTCTCCCTCTCCCTTTACCTGCCTCTACCCAGTTGACACACTGCCCCTTTCCCCATCTGTCTCCTCACACCACGCCTATCCTTCTACCCCCTCTCTAGTGCCCCTCCCCTCCCTGGCACCTGTTTACTCTCTGGTCCCACAGCTATGAATAAGCCTTTGCCCTCTCCTACCACCGTGACAGCATTTGTTAGAACTGGTTTTGGTTGTGGGTTTTGGCTTATTTTTATTCTTACCCACCCTGATAGGAGGAAGTTGAAATCTCAAAGGAGTTTTCATTTGCATTTCTCTGACGGCTAAGGATGTTGAACCTTTTTAAGAGTTTCTCAAACATTTGTGTTTCACCTTTTGGCAAAGGGTTAGCATCTTGAATATTCAAGAACTCAAAACTAAACATCAAGAAAACAAACAACCAATTAGAGTCTTTCCTTTCTGCAGACTTCTACCAAGAAAATGTTAAATTAAAAGAAAAGAAATAAAGGACACAGACTTGAGCAGGTAGGGACCGGGTGAGGCGAGGGTGGGACGATGATTGTAAGGATTTCTCTGAGAACTAATAAAATAAACTTTAAAAATGCAGATGTTCTCGCTATCTTTGCTGAAACGGGTCTCGGAGAGAGAAAGCAAATCACTGGTGTCTTTCTCAAGCTCTCACAGAGATGTGGATGCCTGTCACGTGGAGTTCCGTCACCAAAAACTAAGTGTGGAAGTATTAAGTGACTCAGCCCTGTGCCGGCTTCTGGAGTGGCGCAGAATGCCTCATGTCTTACATTGTTTGCATGTTTCTCTTTGTGAATCTTGGCTTTAAAAGCTGAGCTGCACATCCTACCCCACCCTTTTTCTTTTTTACTTTAAACGTTTTTAGAACAGTGTTTATGTGGCGTGTGTGTGTGTGTGTGTGTGTGTGTGTGTGTTGTACCTGTGGAGGTCAGAGGTCAACCCTCAGGAGTTGGTTCTCTCTTACCATGTGGGTCTCAGGGATGGAATTCAAGGCCCTTCAGGCTTGGCAGCAGACGCCCTTGTTGAAGGGTTCAAAGCTTCCCTCTTACTCCTCTGGACACCCGCTGAGCGCACCAGCGTGATAAACGATGAGCGATGAATGCTTGCTTGCACGACTCTCCGCTCAGCTTGTGAGACTGAAGCGAGTTACAGTAAAGCCCGGAACAGCAACAAGTGACACCCGCCGTTAGCACGGGACAGCACGGCAACAGCCACAGCCTGCCCCATCTCCGCTCTTCTCAAGGCCCCAGAGAGCGGCTCAGCCAGAATCTGGAAACCCAGCAAGCCCCGAGCTGATCTGGCAGAATTCAGCGCCCACCTGAGCATCTGAGAGCCGCAGCTCACCGCTTCCCTCCCTCACCTCAGCTGTTGCCCAGCTCTGGGCTTCCTGGGCTCCTCATCTACCGGCTCAGCCAACTCACACCTCTGCCCTTAGGCAGGGGATGTCCAGCCAAAACCACTTCAGAACTGCAAGGCCGGAGGGAGCCACACGAGCGTGGCCGTCCTCCTGCCTGGGCTTGAGGTTGGTCCCCAGGAGAGTCCAGGAAAGAGCTTTGAAATCCTGGAAGGTGAGCACAGGGCCAGGCCCGTGAGGAGACGCGGGGAGCCCCACCCTGCGGGGTATGCCTGGACCTTTGCAGTGGGGTGAAAAAGACACACCCGTTTTCGGGCCCAAGCGGTGTGAGCAGACGTCCTCAGGCTTGTAAATTAACATGGGGGGTGGGGAGCAGATGTGGCCAATCGGAAGCCTTCTCCCCGTTCCCCATCACAACCCAGCAAGGGTTCCAGGGTGCTAGCAGCAGGCTTGGAGATTTAAAACCGACATCACAGTGTGATGGGCGGGGGGGAGTGGGGGGGGGTCAGCAGACACTCTGAGAACCCCGGAATCTGTTCACGGAATAATCCAGAAGAAGTGCCACAAGAGTGAACCAACCCGGCGACAACCCGGGAGGAGGGTTTGCTCTCTGGCCGGGAACCGCCATCGGGCGTGAAAATCAATCTAACCTGCCGGGGAAAAGGCTCGGACACTGTGTGTCTCTGGCTTCGGGTGTCACACTCTTATTTGTGAACAGACTTGCTATGATCTATAGACATTACGTAATCTGTAATCCAAACATCTGTCCTCCAGGGACCACTGACCAAGCACCAGAGGATTATCATCTTGTGGGAAATGGAAACGACCGTGCAAAGTGTTTCAAACGGGAAGCCGGCGCCATCTGGTGGTGAGCAGGGAGAGGCTCGCCCCCGGGTTCCCAGCATCCTCCCGCAGCTGGTCCTCCGGGTCGGGGCCGCTGTGCGCTGCCGGTGAATCGCCCGCCCAAATGACCAAGCATGGAGAGCACGGCGAGCACGGAGAGTGAGGTGTCACACGCGGCTGCTCACGGCACCCACCAGACACACCCACAGCTCCCGGTGTGTCTTCACAGCCGGGCGCACCCCCCACCCCACAGTTCGACCCCGCGTAGCCAGCAGGCGTGAAACAGAAAGGCCTGAGCATCGGGCTGGAGGGCCCAGGTGCTGCAGGCCCCGGGGCAGCCCTTGCTGAGGGAGGATGGGCAAGGTGTGGGCAGGTCCGGGGGGAGGGGGGCAATCCTTCCGTCTCACCACACGGGGAAGTCGGGGTCTCCCTTTGGGAGTCTTGGTCCCGTTAATACAAGAAGGTAAAAACGGACTCAAGGACAATTGTGTTACACTCTAGAAAACCAAGCAAAAGGCTTGCAAGCTGTGAACACCAGCAGCTGCCCAGAGGAGGATGGAGGAAGCCTGGGGGTCACACCCGCGTGTGACAGTGGGGTGGGCATGGAACCAGAGAGGTAACAAGGAAGCCGGAAACGAAGGCGAGCAAGCCCCAGCTGTTAAGGAAAGCCTGCTCTAAGTGCGTCAGAGGAGAGGGCACACTCAGGACACACAGGCCCATGGGCAACGGGGGAGGGGTGCTTCTGGCACAATATAGCATCTCACTAAAGAGCTGTTTTTCCCCCTGTGTCTCAGCACGGCTCTAGGGGAGCCCTCCTGACATGTCCACACTCGGACCACAGCTTCTGTTCTCGTGCCTGGGAACGTTCTCCACCCTAATATTTACATGGAAGCTTTCTGTTGTGTCTGAGGCATCATCGCCTTAAGACAAAGAACATTCACAAGGGCACAGGCCAGTTTCACTTAAAACACGCACACACACACACACACACACGACACACACATGTGCGCATGAGCACACACACAGCATCTTCTGTCACCAAGTGTCTGGCTTCAGATGCTACCTCGGTTTTTTGTGCCCCTAAGGCACAGGTAGTGCCATTCATTAAACCTGTCCTTGCAAAGGGTTCACACTTGATGGTCTCCTGAGGCTGCCCCTCAGTGGTCAGGGCCATCTCCCATGGAAGATGCAGTTCATGAGGGCAACAGGTAGCTGGATACTGTGTCTTTAAAAACAAACAAACAACTTTTCATTGGTTGTCAATGTCACGTCATGCACCCCAGTCCCCTCACCTTCCCCTCCGACCCACCCTGCACTCTCGAACCCTCCTCCCCAAGAGAGAAAAAAATGAGTTGTGGAAGCTGCAGTGTGTCACAGTGTACCCTTTTGTCCACACTTCTTTGCTTGCAAATGTGCACTGCAGTGACTCCTCGGTCTGGTGTGAGGCCTCTGGCTTGTGCTGCACTATCCGTCCTGGGTCCTCACTGGGCCTCCTCTCGGAGGTCCCGCTGTTGCCCTGTGTCATGGAGACCCTGTAGTTTTGATCTGTAGGACTCCATGTGTGCATTCCATAGGTTCCAGGATTGGGTAGAAGTTGGGTTTGGCCAACTCAGGCCGTGGATGAGCCGTGTCTGAGGTGGTCAGCCCAACCAGCTCTCCTGCTCTCACACCCTCAGTGTCTGCTCACCAGAAACCCACGGTACCAGGGCCAGCTCTACCCTGCTGCCCTGGTGAGGGACAGGGCCGGCTCTCCCACACTCACATCCTCAGGGCTGGCTCTCCGGCAACCCCCACACCCAGGGCCAGCTCTACCCTGCTGCCCTGGTGAGGGGCAAGCCTGCTCTCCCCAGTGCTGCAACAGGTAAGGGACAAGGCCAACTCTCCCACGACCCCAGGGCCAGGTCTCCCATGCTCTCGCCCTTGAGGCTGAATCACCCACAGCTCACACAATGTTCGGGAGCCCCTTCCTGAGTGCTTCAGCTGGCCAGGAGCAGAGTCATCTCTGCCCCCAGGGCCTGCTCTCCCACCATACCCAGGGGAGGGGTGGGGCCAGTTCTGCACAACCCTCAGACATCAGCGTGTCCCTAGGCAGCAGCCCAGACCAGGAATATCTGCCTGGTTCTTGGTGGAAAGAGACCCCACGGCTGCAGGGCCACGGTCCCGGGCGTGGCTCCCAGTGGCATCAGCTCATATCAGGCTGTTCCTCGCCACCCTTGGGTCTCCAGGCCTGCCTCTCTTCATTGTGCCCACATCCTTCTGTTTCTCTTCCTCTTCCCTTTCTCCACCACTTACCTGCTCCTCTTGGAGGTGCCCAGGGTCTCTGAGTGCCTGGGGTCGTCTCAGGAGCGCTATGCCCTGCTCACGCATTATGGCGCCAGCAAGGGGTCATCTTGGGCATGGTCTGCACTCTCTTCAGGGAGTGTTAGGCTACTAATCATTCAGACGTTCACAGGTCAGAACGCTGGGTGTAGACACAGCCTCCCTCCACTCTGCCACCTACTGACACACCCGTGACACAAGCCACACCCGCAAGGCCTCCAGGGGCAGGGGGACACTGTCTTTAACCCAAGCTGCTTGTTTCTTTTGCTTAAGGACTTTAGGCCATCGATATTAGTGCTGAAAGGTATGTACTGACTTTTGGCATTTGCTTTTGTACAGTTTGGTGTTTTCTCTGTTACTCATTTGCTTAATACAGTTCAGATCTGGCTTATTTTCTGTACCATTTTGCATATTAAAGATTCATTTAAATGGCATCTGTAGCATAGGCCTAAGGATCATCACTAGCTTAACCTATGTCTATCACAGCAGACTTTTTTTGTCCTTCAGTTATGATAGATAGTTTTTCTGGGTATAATATTCTCGATTGGCATTTGCTGTCTTTCAGGGTTTGAGATACATGTTAAATATTAGCTGTTATTCCAATGGTTCTGCTTTTACATATGACTTGTTCTGTCTTGCACTTTCATTATACTTTCTTTTTGTATGTTTCTTCTGTGTTATGAATGTTCTAAATGCCTTCTGAATGTGGACAGGCTCTTCTGTAAGTATGGGGAATTTTCTGCTGTGACATTAATTGAATATGATAACTTGAAACTCTGTCTTTTCACTATGTCCATGGTTCTAAGATTCATGTTTTCGGTGCTCTGCAGATCCAGGATGTTGTTTTTATTAATTTTATGTTTGCCATTATCTGAGTGTTCCAGTTCCTCCACCTTGTCTTCAAGCCCTGAGATTCAAATTTCCTGTTGATACAGGTTTTGGGTAAGGCTTCCCAGGAACTTTTTGTTTAACATAAAAACTCTCGCTTCTAACATTTCAGAGAATTTTCCCCACTATTTCTATCTCTTAGTGAACTTCACTTACATATCCTAGCTTGGCTTCTTTGTTTCATTCAAGTGTTGGTTATTATGTTCTTGGAATTCATTCAGAACTTTCTTTGATTTCTTTGAATGTACTTACTGTCATTCTTTTGAGTTCTTTTTCTGGGCTTTCATCTAATTTATTGTTGATGAAGTCCATTTTTGTGGATTAACAACTTTTAGAGGAATGTTGTCTTGGCTTTTCTTGTTTTGTGCAATAGGACTCATACACCTAGGGTTAGGTTGGATTTTTGTTAAAGTGCTTATTCAAGAGATACTGGTTTGCAGTGGGGTTGAGCTGTCCTTGTTTTCTCTGCTGTTTGGGACAGCAGGCTGGATTCTAAGGGCTCCTCCAGAGAACACAGCGTGTAAAAACGATCACTGTGGGGGGCAATATAAAAATGTGGTACTAGTCAATAAAAAAATCATCTCTCAAATGCCAGTCACTCAAGAAGCAAAGGAACACTGATTGTGCTATATGTAGCTGTGCATTTACTGTGGATGGAAAGGAACTCAGTAAAGCCGGTGATGGGTTTTGTGTTGATATAGAAAAAAGCAAAAGGGAAAACAAATGAATCTAAAGGAAAAAGAAGCAGTAATGGTGCTGAGGGCACGAGTCAGTCTGGGTTACATGTAGAGAGAACTGAGAAATCATGAAATCAGAGCTGGGCGTGATGCCGCACACCTGTGATCCCAGCACTCACAGGCAGGTGGAGCTCTGTGAGTTCGAGGCCAGCCTGGTCTACAAATTGAGTCCAGGAGAGTCAAGGCTACACAGAGAAACCCTGTCCCCAAACAAACAAAACAAAACAAAAGGGAAGAAAGAAACAAAGAAAGAAAGAAAAAGAGGCAGTAAGATAAGCTCAGTCATCCCAGCTGTCGGGAGCAAGGTGGAAATGGAGGTGACTGCTTACCTGAGGCCCTGCATGGGGTCCAGGGCTCCCTCTCCCTGGGAGAAGGGAGCTTCCATCTCTGCTGATTCCTCTAGGAGGGACTCGAAGTGTTCCCACCAGTTCTGCTTCATAAAGTTTCTCTGTGCTGCCCCTGAACTACCACCTCTCCAAATGCTTGCTTTACAACTTTCCCGAGCTTGTTCTTTGGAAATTCAAGAACATGGTGCTTGTGTGTCATCAGCCGCATTTGCCTAACTCTTGTCTCTTTAAAAACTTAGCATTTGTGCAAGCTCATGTAAGTACACTTATAAAAGAGTATTACATCTAAAAATATTTCCAATGACAGCAGTTGTTTTAGTGTTTGCATGATAGGTGGCTGAAGAAGAGAATAAAGAATACTCTGTCAAGGAGCAACACAAGGAGAGCGACAGAACCAGAAAATTTGAACACAGGGGTCTTTCCAGAGACTCATACTCCAACCAAGTACCATGCATGGAGATAACCTAGAACCCCTGCACAGATGTAGCCCATGGCAGTTCAGTGTCCAAGTGGGTTCCATAGTAATGGGAAGAGGGACTGCCTCTGACATGAACTGATTGGCCTGCTCTTTGATCACCCCCACCCCCGAAGGAGGAGCAGCCTTACCAGGCCACAGAAGATGGCAATGCAGCCACTCCTGATGTGATCTGATAGACTAAGATCAGAAGGAAGGAGAAGAGGACCTCCCCTATCAGTGGACTTGGGGAGGGGCATGCGTGAAGAAGGGGGAGGGAAGGTGGGATTAGGAGGGGAGGAGGGAGAGGTTTATGGGGGGGATACAAAGTGAATAAAGTGTACCTAATAAAAGTTAAAAACAAACAAACAAAAACAATAAAAAATAATAAAAAAAAAGATTATCAGCAAGAAAAAGGGACAGCACTGGCTGGAGAGATGGCTCAGGGGATAAGAGCACTGTCTGCTCTTCCTGAGTTCAATTCCCAGCAACCACTTGGTGGCTCACAACCACCCATACTGAAATCTGATGCCCTCATCTGGCATGCAGACATACATGTAGCTAAAGTACTCATACATGGACTAAATAAATAAAATCTTAAAAGAAAAAAAAAAGAATATTCTGTTAAAAGTGTAAACAGAAGATTTTAAAAACTGGCTTTATTTAAGAACAAAGGCTTAAATTCATGGATTGAAAAACGCTTGAACAAAATGATCAGAACAAACATTTTTGTTTTCCAAATTTGTACTACTATTATGTTTATGGGTATTTCTCTGCTTATATATCTGCACACCACATGTGTGCAGCGCCCAAGGAGGCCGAAAGAAGGTATCTGATCCCCTGGGGCTGGAGTTACAGTTGGCTGAGAGCTGTCATTGTTCTTGGAGTCCAACCTGGGTCCTCTGGAAGAGCAGCTATTGCTCTTCACTGATAAACCATCTCTACAGCCCAGAAAAACTACTCTCTAGGTCATGTTTAAATTCACAAATTAGATACAGCGTGTAACTCTTTCTCAATCAGTGGGAAATGTCTTAAAAGCGTGCCAAGCATCTGTAAGGGAAGACTTGTTTATCCCAGTTGCACCTGCAGTTCTCCTGGCTGGTGCTGGATGTTAACAGTAACTGAAGAGGCGTGGCCCATTGTCCTCCTCATCCACATTGGGCGTGTCTGGCTCCGACTCAAACGCAGACCCACAGAGCTCTTCTCTGACCACAGAATTCCTTTTCCCTCGAATCCCCATCCTGCCTCCGGACTCTGTCCAGATTATGGTGAGGCTCTTGCTGTGCTTATGCTAAAGAGAGCATCGTTAGAGCCAACAGTCTGTGGTCGCTGTGGTAGGAGCCGGGGAGGGCATTTTACACATTTGTGCCACACTCACTTCCCTGCACGATCAACTGATGGTTTCTGTTGTTATCGGGGTTTTTTTCCTCCTCTTTTTGCATGGAGCAGCCCAGGTTTATAATGTTGAAACACATAAACCCTCATCCTCTTTTTTACCCCAGAAAATATGAAATTATGTTAACAAGATCATGAGAATTGCCTGCTAGCTAGGATCTCATTATTAATGTCATAAACGGGTAGTTAAACGGGTTCCCTGGGCTCTGATGGTGGATGTGTGAAAACGGCATTTGTCTGTTTCTCCTTCAGCTATTTGAAGGTAGAGCCATCTAAGGAACCGTCGTTCCTAAAGTCTGCGGTTTTGCTAGGACATGAGCTAGGAAAGAAGGTCGAGACCTCGCTTAACATAGGTCTGTCTACGCAAGTGTTCTGGGGATTAGGAGAAGACGCTACCAAAGCTGAGCCAGTGTGCACAGACACAGATGGCAACGTAACAACCACGGAGGATGAGAAATCAGCTGCTGCATTTTTTTGTATTTCACTGACATATTTTATAAAATTGTTCTCTAGGTAAAAAAAAAAAAAAAAATTAGTCAAACACTACACAAATATTCAAATAAATCAAGCATAGTAAAATTTCTTTTCCACGGTCATTATTGGAACCGTTGTTTAGGTTCCTAGAATGGATGCTTATTATGAATGCCATACAGCGAAAGGAAGGTTAGGCAGGGAGGTTCCAGTGTGGTCAGGGGACAATGAGAGCTGTGTGCAGGCTCTGGAGCTTTCTGAGTGAAGAGCAGTGGCGACTCCTCACCCTAGCGGTGTCACCGCTCCCTGAGCCATCATTCATTCAAGTGAAGACGAGATGGACATATGCACACTTCATTTTGAAACTTCAAATATTTGCCTAAAGCATTTAAAAAGTATTTATAAATTTTATAACTAAAATTAACATTTAAAGTACTTACAAAGTATTTAAGAGAAAGTGTGAAGCAATAAAATATTGTGAGGTTTGCATTGCCTTCCGTTCTGCTTTGAATAGAGCTGGGAAGATGCAAAGTGTCTAATTTTCCCTAAAGGAACATTTGTTTTTTACTGTTGTAAGTGAAGCTTCCCACTGAGTAATGTTTCAACACTGAAAACCTATCAGAACATACTTACTGTAAACAACTGTAGGTTTAAATTATTCTAAAGATTATACACATGTGTGTATATGTACACATATATACACACATATGTATACATACATACACACATACATACATACGACCCTATCCCCTGAGCTCCACTTCCAGCCCACAGCTCTGCCTGCTTTGCTGCAGGCCACTCTGGCACCAATGACCCCACCCAGGACACACTAGTACTAGGGACCCCAGGAGAGAGGTTAGCAACCAAACCCCCAGAGGCCACACAGGCTACAAAAAGACTCCAGGGGAGATATCCTACTGGACCTGAAGACTTGCTA